GGTGAAAGATCTCCAACTTTTCAGCAATCATGTTAGTCTTCGCCCAATCTTCTTCACTTGGAACATTTTTACATGAAGGCTCATGCTGCTTTAAACGAGGAAATACATCTTTATATACCAATGCAGTGGTAAGCATCACATACGTCGAGTTCCACCTAGTTTTACAATCAAGGACTAACTTCCTAGAGAACTTAATTTTCATTTGTTTGTTCCCCTTACTTACTGGTTTGCTTGTTCCCCTCTACCGGAAAAATCTTGGATTCGATTGCTGGACCACGTAACCTGTCCAACCCTCCCCACAACAGAGTCGGGTCCCCCTGTATTTGGTCCCACCCAACTACACGCTGGTCCTACAGTTTGAGTCAGCTACCCTATATGGTAGCTGCACGCAAACTCCTCCATCCCCACCTATGATGAATACTTGGCTCCAGAGTACAAGCTAACCCCTGACTTAACTGAATTAAACTAATCTCACATTATATAAACGGCCTCACCCACATTCTTCACCCAAACAACAAAAACCAAATGATATCAAGATAAAATATTAATAAACAGAAAGGTGTCACGCTAAAACTTTGGCTACGGTTGAGAGTTTTCTTGCTTAGTAAGGATCTCGACATATGGTTGTCCGTAATAAAGTAATAATTAATAATAAAAAGAAAGTTCATATGCTACATTTCATTCAAACAAAACAATACCAAATAGTCCGAACTTCAGACCATAAATTTAAAAGCCTGTAGAGTAATAAGAGTTGAATAAAGATATGTGAGCACATAATTACTCTACTAAATTCAGTAATACATAACAAAGATACAAACTGGAGAACCAAACACACAAGTACATTTCCAAAATCTCAAACCCTAAATTAATTCCAAAATTTATCTGATGTCCCGGATTCTGAGGTGAGGAGGTTGTCTGAGGTGAGGTCGAGGAGGGTGGTGAGGTTGTCTGAACGAGGTCGCCGAGGTGTGGTCGAGTCGAAGTCGAGAGGCGCAGAGAGAGAGTGACGGAGAGAGAGGCGCAGAGAGAGAGCGACGGAGAGAGAGGCGCAAAGAGAGAGCAACGGAGAGAGAGAGTGACGGACGGAGAGAGAGAGCGACGAAGTCGGGAGGCAGAGAAAGAGAGTGACGGAGTTGTAACTCTGAGGGTTTTTAATTTGTTTTTTTTTTTAATTTTACATATATTAAATTAAATGGGTAAATGGATACCCGTTATAACCATGAATATTACCCATAACCGATGGATACCCGTTATAACCGCGGATAATACCCATAACCGCCCATTTAAATTTCATGGATAAACGGTTATACCCATAACCGTTTATTTGTTTAAACGGTTACCCATAACCATAACCATCAACTTTAAATGGGCGGGTAACCACGGTTACCCATACCCATGGGTATTTTGCCCATTCCTATGGTGGACCCCTCCGTATTCTGTAGGAGGAGAGTGGAACACAATGATACCGGATGAACAAGAAAAAATTAGGAGATATAAAGTAGGGATGATTTTGTGTGCGTTGGAAAGGCCTACAAGAGGAACAGAAAGAGGGGCCAGAGCCCAAATAAGAACAATTAGCAGTTGAATCTTTGATGCTGGTTGCTTGGGGTTCAAGAGAGGAAATAATAGTGTGAAATTGGAAGCGCACATGAGGACCTAAGTATACCTTTTTTTTTAAAAGGGAGTTTTAACATAACACTCCCGGTACTGTTCACTTTTAACGAAAAACCACATTTATACATTTCCCTGGTACTAGTCACTATATCTTTAAAAAGGTCTTTTCATTAAAAAGGAAGTCTCTTTAGACTTTTCATTAGTTTTCATTTTTTTTTAAACTTAATGATAGATATGGTAGCATTTCATCACTTAAATAGGGAACAACTTTTGTATTCCACTTTTTAATTTTGTCCCTTGATCCTCTAACGAATCACTAGTAAAAATAATTTATTTCTCATTATTTTTCGAATAATTTTTTTGGGTGTAATGAGAAATGATTAAGACTTAAACCCCAAGTAATGGCTAATGCATTTTTAATTTCCTCACTTTTGCTTGACCAAGATCATCTTCAACAAGTAGATGACGCTTTACCACAATGGTGAAATGCAATAAGATTTTTACACTCTGATGCGGGTTCAAGTCCACCGATCCTCCTCTCTCTAATATTTAACAATTTAATTTACTAACATTATCGTTTGTCAAAATAAAAAAAAAATCATCTTCAACAAAACAATCTCCAAAAATGAAAATTCTACAATGCACTAATGTATGTGACACATCACATGACTGAAGAGAAACTTACATGAAATGAGTTTACCGTCATCGTGACGTCTCAATCTAATAATGCATTGTCATGTCTTATGTGATAGTGAACTTGTTTCATATATATGTTCTTTACTTGGTTTTGACATCTAAATCCAGCCGTTTAAATACCATGTGCAAAAAACCATTCCATGCAATGCCACACAAATTGAAAAATGGAGAAAAAATGAAATGAAAATGAGGTGGAACATAGAAAAAATGGTAGTGCTATCCACACATTTCTTGTCTTTCACAAATCTCTCAATTCTCGTCCATCTAATCGAATGAATTAAAAATAATTGACAAAATGTATGGGAAAAAAAAAATGTCTTTGAATGGCATCACCCAAAAAAAAAAAGGTCTCCCTGTTTCTTCTGCTCACCCACATTCCGCTTCTAAAACCCAACCTCGTTTGCCTTCCTTTGGTTTTACTTCGACCTCCCTTGCTCTGACTCTCTCTGCGCCTTCCCAGAGCCGGCCACCACCACCTCCTCAGCCTCCTCAGGTATAAAGCAAACGTTTTCCTCTTTTCAATGGCCTTTTTCGTCTTTGCTCATCTTTTGTTTTTATTTCCCTTGCACTCAAGTTCTTAGCGTGTATCTGAGTTTTGAGTCTGGGCATTTTCTGGGTTTGTGAGCTCAAAGTTGCCGACTTTCTCTTGATTTCTGCATGTTTGCCATGTTTAATGTATCTTTTGACTTAACTTTCCAAGTATTCAGATGCCTCTTCTTCTTCTGGATTATTTGAGTTCTGAATTTCTTAAAAATAAAAAATCAAATAAAAAAGTTGTAAATTTCTTGACATGAGGGGTGACCAAAATAGTTGTCCTGGTGCACCATTTACAGCAATTTTGAAGGAAAATAAAATACCCAAGTGGGAGGAGGAGATAGTCAGATTCATGTCATCTAAGGGATGAATTTTGTTTGCATTACTTGATTTCTTTGTATTCTAATTCTGTTTTCGTTCAGTCACTTAGTATTTCGGTCTAATGAGATTCCTCTTCACTTGTAAGTGAGAGGTTCTAGATTCAATTGTTGCCAAAGGCGAATTTAAACAATATTATTGCTAGCCCATTGTGAGGCTAAGCCTACCCCCTCCCCTTAGTGTAGATAATTTCATTTGTCCAACAAAAAAAATTCAGTTTTCCTTGGACGAGGTTTTTGGTGTTACCAATTCAAGTTGGAAATCTGAAATGTACTTCCGGTTCATGTCATTTCTTGGTTGTTTTTCTGTTTTTATTTCCTTGTTCTTGTTTATAAACTGTTCTAACAAACCTGTTTAATTATTTAATGACAGTTAAATTGGTGTTACCCATTGTTCTGCTGCTCTTCGTGTTTGGCCTGCTTGCAGTTTTTAAGCTGTGTAATTCCCAGCTGCCAGTGCTTGGACATAAAACTTTCAGTTTGGTGACTACGAAATTGTAAGCTTTTTGCAGGGAGAACGGCACTGCTACTGAAACTTCTACGTACCTAGGGGTGGGTTCGGTACGGTTACCGTACCAAACCCCTTGTACCAATTACCATACCGAACTTTCGGTTTGGTAAAATCTATTACCATTACCGTACCAAACTTTCGGTATACCAAAGTCCGGTATTGCCAAAAGTTCGGTTGGCATGGTATGGCAATGGTAATTGCCATTTTGTTTTGGAACAAAATCTGTTTTTGTTTTTTTAACCCAATTCAAGGGCAAAACTTGTTTTTTGTACCTTTATCTCATACATTATAGATTAAATTCATCTATTATTCATCATTCACAATTCACAATTCACACACATAATAATTCAAATGATGCATCAAGATTCATCATGAAAATTAAGCTTACAATCCAAATAGAAGTTACGAATCAAAACAAATAGAAGTTAACAATCCAAATATAAATTAAAGTTTCAAACCAAATGAAAATTGGAAGTAAACTTCAAAAATGAGAATTCATTGATCAGTTATTCAAGCTTAAGATGTCAAAGCTTTTTGGGGAATGCATTGAACTTGTAGAAGATTGAGTTTGTGTCAAGTCTACATTACAAACAAAAAAAACATATTAATTAGTAGCAAGAAGAATTAAAGTTGAAAACCATTTAATAACAAATTTACTAAAAAAATTAAAGCATATCTTTCTTGTTTTCTCTTCTTCCATTTCCTTGTAAAATTGAAGCATATCTTCCTTTGGTTCCTTGTAGAAGTTTACTTCATCTACCCTAAGTCAACCACTAGTACGCACTAGTGCCTCCATTATTTTAGGAGTCAAGGATATCCTAAAGGGTCCACAACCCTCCTCCCTAGGCTAAATGCATTTTCACTAGCAAAAGTAGAAGTGGGGGTTATAAAGATATTTTGGCTATTTGTGAAAGAATTAGGAACTCTTTTGTGTTTGATTTCCACAATTTCAAGAGATCAAAATCACCAACAACAATGCTAATATAAGTAGGGTTTTATTTTCAAATTATTGTAATATTATAAATATGTGTTATATAATTATCTATTATATAATTTCTAAATTATATATTATATTGTATTTTCGGTATGGTACGGTAATACCGTGGTAATGGTATCCATTACCAATACCGTACCATGAAATTTCGGTACGGTACAATACCGTACCATTACCGATTGGTACAAAAAATTTGGCACAAAATCGGTATGGCACGGTTGGCAATTCGGTTGGCACGACAATTTGGCAAAAAAATCCACCCCTATACGTACCCATACGAAACCTGGTAGTGTCACATTGGGGGGACCGCATGTCCCTCATTCCTTCACTTAGTCAGCCCGCATGCTTTACCATTCCAAATTTCTCCCTTCCCAATCAGAGAGAGAGAGTGCAAAGCTTCTCCCAAAATCTCAGCAGCCTGAGCCTGCAACCAACGCCCAACCCCAACGGAACGGAAAATAAATCCCCATTGGCTGATTTCTGTTGGCTTTTTGCTGCTAACACTAGCCACTCCAGCCGCTAAGCCGACTTCTAGCCTTCAATTTCAAAGGTAAATTTTTTAATTCCTAAATTTGTAATCCCTAACCCTAATTAATTATTCAATACGAATTTTGTTTAATTAGTAATGATATGGTAATGCACTAATATGGTTATTGATTATTGATTATTGATATGATTCTATGATTATTGATTGATATGAAATTATGAAATTATTTTTTAGGGTGAAAATTAAAATTTGAATTTTTGATTAGTTGTATTCATATGATTAGTTGAATGAATTTTTTATTTATTTAATAATTTATATGCTTATTGGTATTGATTAATTGAATTGTTGGTTGGGTTATTATGCATATTAGTATAGACTATAGGATTAAGAGTCTAAGATTTTTTTTTCTTTCCATTTTACAGTTACGTAATGGAACGGTACTATAAGAAACAATGTTTAAATCCTCCTTCAAACATTTCGGGTAGTCCTTCTCCTTCAAATATTCCAAGTAGTCATCCTCCTCCTCCTTCAAATATAAGAAGTCCTCCTTTGAATATTCTGAGTAGTTCACAACAAAGTGAGCCCACTGAGTTGGATGAGATATTGGCTAATCTTCATGCAGACCCTGGATATAGACGTCGAATGCTTGATTATCCACCTAATTATCGTGAAGCAATTCGTAGACACTATCTCCAAAATGATCCTTGTCAACCTAGAGACCACATTATGCCAAGAAAAGTTAGCAAACAAAAGATGTTTTATCACCGGTTGGTTTGATAGGTTTTAAGTGGTTGGAGTATAGTATATCAAAGGATGCTGCATTTTGTCGTTATTGCTATCTTTTCAAATGTGATTTCGATCAAATGGGTAGCACTGGAAATGATGTCTTCACCGAGAAAGGGTTTACAAATTGGAGGAAAGGACCCGAAAATCTTCGAGCCCATGAGGGAGGTGTTGGAAGTCTTCATAATAAAGCTGTACAACAAGCTAGAGATTTGATGACACAAAAACAACACATTGAAACATTTGTGATTAAGCAAACCGATGAAGCTCGCAATAATTATCATACTTTATTGAGAGCCTCACTTGAGTGCACAAGATGGTTGTTGGGACAAGGTTTGCCTTTTCGTGGTCACGATGAATCGTTGAAATCAAGCAATAGAGGTAATTATTTGGAGCTTATGCACTTTCTTTCCAAGCATAATGAGCAAGTTAAGAAGGTTGTGTTTGAGAATGCTCCCAAGAATCTTAAGTATACTTCTTCTGATATTCAAAAAGATCTTGTCCGTGCTTGTGCCATTGAAACTATAAATGCAATAACTAAAGATATGGAAGGTGAATTTTTTTCTCTTTTGGTTGATGGATCACGTGACTCTTCAACTAAAGAGCAAATGGCGGTGGTATTGCGTTATGTGAATAAAAAAGGAGAAGCAATTGAAAAGTTTTTGGGTGTGCAACATGTCTTCTCTACAACTAGTAGCTCGCTTGAAGAGGCTATTGAGAGATTCTTTGCTACAACAAATTTGAGTATGTACAAAAGTTTTGTCAAGAGCATGATATTGTCGTTTCTAACATGGAGGATTTGCATTTTGTACCTGGAAAATCAAGGCGTAAAGCTCCAAGACTCACAAACTTCCATTACTATCGTGTGGACCTCTATTTTCAAGTCCTTGATACACAATTAAAGGAATTGAATGATCGCTTCAATGAGGTAAACACCGAGTTGCTTCTTTGTATGGCATGTTTGGGTCCGATGAATAATTTTGCATCTTTTGACAAAGCAAAAATTGTTCGTCTAGCTCAACTTTATCCTCAAGATTTTGATCGTATGGACCTCATGAATCTTCCAATTCAACTTGACAATTACATTCACGATATGAAGATGCATAGTGAGTTTTCATCATTGAGAGGAATTGGTGATCTTGCAAAGGAGTTGGTGAAGACTGGGAAGTGTGCAAGCTACATATTAGTGTATAAGCTTCTTACATTGACTTTGGTGTTACCGGTTGCAACCGCTTCGGTGGAGAGAGCTTTTTCTGCTATGAAGATTGTGAAAACACCATTGCGTAACAAAATGGGAGATCAATGGTTGAGTGATAGCATGCTTGTTTATATAGAGAGATATGTATTTGCTTTTATTGATAATGAGCCTATTATGCGACATTTTCATGGTATGAAACGTCGTCGGCAACAATTGTAATTTGTTTATGTTGATAAATTATGGAAGACATTACTATATAAAATGATTTGGTTGTTGCTATTCTTTTGAACCTTGCACTCTTTTAACTTCGCCCCTCCCCCCGTCAATTCCTGGCTTCGCCACTGGTAGTGTGCATCCCATGTCTTCAAATCCGTCCAATCAGCCAGAAAGGGTAAAAATGGATTACTTCAGTCAGTCCATATTGGTATTTCACATACCTCAGATGGCCTGTTTGTGTTCTACTTCTTTCAATCACTGTTTTCTTCGAAGGTTAAGTTAACTATTTAAGATCGCACTATCTGCAGAATATGACTGATGATGCAAGGGCTTTGCCCAAGATTATTACTATTTTGAGAGAACCAGGTGCTGCTGAGAGATTTTTGCTAGGCCTACTTGGTCCTGATGATACTAGGATTACGCAGTCATATGATGACGGTGATCTGAGGCAGAATTTAGCCTACCATGCCCTTGCTGTAAGTGATTGTCCTTGAGATTTCATTGCTGTTACTATTTTGTATTGGTTTGAAAATGCTGTAATTTTTCTTGATTATTTCAGGCCTGCCTCCATTTTGCCTTGTGGCTAAGGGAAAATGGGGATTCTTCCTCGGCCCCCTGCAAGGAGCGCGATACAAGAGCACGCATTTCAGAGTTGGAGGAAAGAGTTAGGAACTTTGAGGAGACCGCTGCCAAGGAGGCAGAAAATGAGATTCTGAGGCATCAGGTCAAAAAATATGAGTTGAAGATGAATGGCGTGTTGAAAAATCTTGATCAGCTGAGGAAGAAGACTGAGGCGTGAGATAGGACATGGAAGGAGCAGGAGGCCTTGCATCAGGGGAGGGCTACGCATTTAGACGAGGTCTTGAGGCAGCTTCAGGAAGCCAATGCCGACAAAGCCAAGGCACAAGTCGAAGAGCTAACAAGTGCCCTGACTCAGACCAGGCAGCTCTGTGAACAGGCTGAGGTTGGAGTGAAGTCATTTTTGAGGACAGAAAAGACTCCACCTCCAGGAGCTAAGTCAACCACTAGCTATTCTCTCCAGCAACATCCAAGCCCAAGACAGAATGCTGTTAGTGGTAACTCAATGAATCTTGGAAGTCAAGTAACTGCTAGTGTTGCCCCATATGTTGGAGTGGTCTCCGGGAAAGATCACGGAGGAAGCTGAAGGCTGGGATGGGGTTGGAGAGGGCTCCGACGATGCATTGGAGGATGAAGGAGTGGAGTTTAGTCGGTTAGGAAAAGAGAGAAGAAAGAAAACACATCTTCTGCAGATTTTGGAGGTTTTCTTGCCCTAATTGTGAGATCTGCATAGATGTTGACAGTAAAGACAACGAAAATTAATTACTAATTACCACTTAGTTTATATGAAAGTGGATCATATTTTGGTTTGTGATTCTACCTACAAGAATACCCGTTTCGGATGTACAGAACCTACAAGAATACCACGAGGGTCGACTCGAAAGTTCAAAACACGTCATTCTGATAAACCGACTCCAATTCAGCCTCTGTCTGTTGCACAGATAGAATTCCAGTCCAACATGGAATCCTGATTCAACTACTGCACCGCTTGCTGCAGATCATGTTTTGTCCTGATTCAACTACTATTTAATCCACGTGCTATATTGTAATCCTAGTTCTACATATGTATAACTTGTAATCCTATAAATATCAATGAACATTGCTCACTCGATTATTGAGTTGAGATTCATAATTACTATCCTTCACATTCAAAGTGAAAATTCTTCTACGCTGGACGTGAAGTTTATCGTTTATCCAGTTTTAAAACTAGGACATGCTTACACTTTGTATACGTGCGAGGTTAATTGCTAGAGACTTAAGGGAAGTATTTTTACCAACACATAAAAAATCAGAAAAAGAAGTGGAAATCAGTAATTTGACACTTGAAAAACCAGGTATTGGTTCAACTATCCGATTAAGGACTTAATAAACATGCCTAAGGGATCAATTGAGACTACTTATGTAGAAAATACTTGTACCTTTCGTAGTTATCAAATTGAATAGACCTAATAAAAATAAGAGACAAAATTAAATAAGAATACGTAAAAAGAGGTGCTGGACAACTGAGCAGAGGGGGAGTTGAGGGGGAGCGAAAGGTGCAGTTGCACAGGGGCCCCAAATTTGAAGAGGCCCTAAATTTTTGCCATCTAACATCATGTAGTAATATTCTATATTCAAAAATTGATTTTGTTAGCACTTTAAAACCGCATTGTGCATTCTTTATAAGAGTATTTTTTTTTCTTTCTAAATATAAAAACTTGGAGTACAATGAGATATTTTGAATGTTAATAATAACATCCTAAAAAATGACAGTTTCTTAATTTTATTATATAACAATGTTATATATTCAAGTGAAACTTTAAAGTTAGAGGTTTGAGGTTTTTTTTCATGTTTGGTTGTTTAAGATAAAACTGCTTTTGATTATTTAGTGAATGTTATGTTTGTAGCTCTTTTTACTTATCATTAAGGACATTTGTAAACATGCAATCAGTGAGTACTAAAGTTTGTTTTGATTTTTTTTTTTGAACAAACGATAGTATCTACACTAAGGAGGTGAGAGAGGGGCTAAGCCTCACAATGAGCTAACAATAATGTGGTTCAAATTCGTCTTTGGTGAGAATTGAACCTAAGACCTCTCATTTACAAATGAAGAGGAATACTATTAAGCTGTAGTATTAAGTGACTTTGTTTTGATTTAAGTGAATGTTTTATGGTATAAATACATTGTCATACTTTTTTAAAAACTTCAAACTATCTTAAGAAGGGCCTCTTTTATAAATTTCGCACAGGACTCCCAAAATTTCAGAGACGGCCCTACAACTGAGAAGGTGGTAGATACACAACTGTCAACAGTGATATAAATTAACGGCTCTATTTCCTCGGGTCACCATCCCCTAAGTTTTCATAAAGCCCACAGCTCTCATTTTCCCCGGGGTTTTCACTTTTTCAAAGTCACACCGATTTTCTAAGTTCTCTACAATCAACTATAATTTTCTCTGCCTCCTCCGATAAAAGGCAAAGATTAGGAATGGGCATAAAGAGCTGAGAAACTCTCTGCCTTTTTTTATTTATTATTTTTGTCTGTAAGTAACTTTCTGATTGGTTCATGTGCATTTTTGTGTTTGTTTTTGTAAAAATCTTGGATTTTTGGGTTTATTTTATAAATTTGTGTGCTTTGGCTATGGTAAGTTACTAGGTTTAGTGGGTTTGACTGAGCTTTCCAAGGTCAGACAATAGGAACAGTTTTCAAGTTAGATTTGCCTTTTTGTTGTAGGCCTATTTGATTGAACGATCTAGGGTTTAGAGAGAGAGGGGGCCGGCCACAATTAGAGAGAAGAGAAATTGATTTAATTGTGAGGTGTGTTTGATTCACTCCATTGTGCCTTTATTTATAGTAGTAGGAAGGGTAAAACCTTTCCCTTTAGGATTTCAATATTTAATAGGTAATCTAATCATAATAGGAATATAAGATACTTTCCCAGATTCCCTAGGATTTACACAATCACATTCCTATTCTAAATATGACTGTAACACTCCCCATTGAGTGTGTAAATACTCAACAAACCATCGCATTAGATCTTCAGCAGATAAGGTAGAATAGTTGATGAAGTCATCGGCACAACGGGTGATCGCGAGTCTCAAATTTAAGTGAAGTATGCATTTGTAGTAAAATTCACAAAACCTCACTATGGTAAAACCCAAGGCATGGGGAAAACCCATAGACTAAGGAGAAAAGTAAGAAGTATGCATAATGTCTAAAACGAATGTCAAACTGGACGAAGGTAGTAAACTCAATGGAGTATGATCATCCCAGGATGGGTGCCTCATTAAAACCTCATTAGGTAGCAAAAACCCAGCGGCAAAAATGCGCCTAATTATTGGAAAAAGAGTACATTAAGATCATGTGAGTATACTTTTAGATACTTCCCATGAGTTAGACATAACTTCTAAATAAGAGAACTACAATCAATTCAACTCAGATAATTTATGCATGTCGATTCCTTGGATGAGCTTTTGAAATGTAGACTTGGGCAACGAGATCGGCCAGGTTGTCCTAGGAACAGATTTGCTTGACTTCAATGTTCTGATACTGCTGCTGCTGGTGTAAGTAAAAGAACTTTGGCGCTATGAGATTGGTGTTGTCTCCCTTGATGTATCCATTCTTCAGCTGCTCGATACATGCTGCATTGTCTTCAAAGATCATCATAGGAAGGTTAACGACTGATGTAAGACCATTAGTGCTTTGAATATGTTCCATAACTTCTCTCAGCCAAAAGCACTCACGCGATGCTTCATGTAGGGCGAGAATCTCAGCATGGTTAGACGAAGTCACAACTAGCGTTTGCTTGGTAGATCTCCAAGATATAGCGATGTCTTCAACGGTAAAGACATAACCCGTTTGAGAACGTGCTCTATGTGGATCAGACAGATATCCATCATCTGCGTAACCAACAAGGTGAGAATCAATCCGAGGGCCATAGGGGGCGGCAACACTTGGAGATTCGCG